GGAACAATGATCCGATCTTTGTAAAATTTAAGACCGAACCTATCAGTGGACACAAAGTCCTGTTCTTTCATGGACTGAATCTCTTCATCAAGCAATTGAGCTTCTTTGATCCGCTCAACTAATGAGTTCTGGACTACCGTAGTAGTCAATAAATGCAGACTATCCTCGGTATTCACAGGAATGCAGAGATCCCTGAATTTCTCAATCAAATTATACTCAGAAATCATCAAATTGGCCATACCAAGCGTCTTTCTGCTTAAAGCATCTGCTACTACATTAGCCTTACCGGGGTGATATTGCAATTCAAAATCATAATCCTTCAGGAATTCCACCCATCGGCGTTGCCTCATATTCAGCTCTTTCTGATCAAACAGATACTTCAAACTTTTGTGGTCATTGTAGACAATGAAATCGGCCCCCGTATAGAAAGTGTCGCCAGATTCTCAATGCGAACACTACGGCTGCCAACTCAAGATCGTGTGTCGGATAGTTCTTCTCATGCGGCTTTAACTGCCGAGAAGCATAAGCAACCACCTGACGAAACTGCATTAAAACACAGCCTAACCCAAACTTAGAAGCATCACAATACACCACAAATTTACTGGTAGGATCCGGCAATATCAATACCGGAGCTGTAGTCAACTTCCTTTTTAACTCCTGAAAACTCACTTCACATTCTTGGGTCCACACAAATGGGTTCCCCTTACGGGTTAACCGTGTCAAAGGTAGTACCATCCGTGAGAATCCCTCAATAAAACACCTGTAATACCCAGTCAAACCAAGAAAACTCCTGATTTCTGTAATATTTTTAGGACGCTCCCAATCTAACACTGCTTCAATCTTACTCGGGTCCATTGCCACTCCTTCAGATGAAATGACATGGCCCAGAAATTGTATCTCAGAAAGCCAGAAATCACACTTTAACGGTTTAGCATACAACTGATGCTCTTTCAGAATCTGCAAAACAATCTTTAAATGCTCAGAATGCTCTTCTTTGCTCCTTGAATATATCAGTATGTCATCAATAAAGACAACCACAAATTGATCCAGATAGGCTTTAAAGATCCGATTCATATAACTCATAAAAACGGCTGGTGCATTCGTAAGCCCAAAAGGAATAACCAGGTACTCGTAGTGCCCATATCAGGACCTGAAAGCTGTCTTCGGAACATCATCCGACTTTATCCGGATTTGATGATACCCGGACCGAAGATCAATCTTAGAAAATATAGTCGCACCACGCAACTGATCCAACAAATCGTCTATACGCGGCAAAGGATACTTATTCTTGACAGTAACCTTGTTCCACTGCCGGTAATCTGTACACAATCTTATAGACTCGTCCTTCTTCTTAACAAAGATCACCGGGTCTCCACGGAGATACACTCCGTCTGATAAAATTCTTACTAGACAAGTCTTCGATCTGCTTCTTCAATTCAGATAATTCCAGAGGTGACATCCGGTATGGGGCAAGAGAGATAGGCCCCACGCCAGGTAACAAGTCGATTGTAAATTCAATTTCCTTCTCTGACGAAAATTCGAAATTTCATCCTTATCACAGTCAAATCGAATGCTTCATTATTAATTCAAGCTCTTTCTGCCTAGTTGCAGTCCAAGTCTGCTGTAGTGCAGCCAAAATCGCTACAACATGATCCGGTGGTGGATCATGATTATTAAAAGTTCTACGAGTTCTCCTTGGAGGAACCATATCTCTGCATATATTACACTAAGGAATGAGTTAGCTACGCTCACACTCAGTGATCACACATGCATTATACAGCACTGCAAGAAAACACTCAAGAACTTCCAACTTCAAATATATTATGCTATATATCATGTAACTCCCTAGAGCAACTGCTCTGATACCATAAATGTAACATCCCCGTCTCGAGCCGGTTCAATTAACATACATATGATACAAACAGAAACAGCGGAAGACTTAACTTACGAAAATACGAACTAACTTTTTCTTTTTCTTTAATCCTTTTTCACATGACATATCACATTGCATACTTCTTCTAATTTAATTCTTATTTTACGGAGACGAAAATCGGACAGAGTAACCTCTGTAAATCGGACAACTGGGGATTTTCCAATCCCACACTCAAGAGTTCCTGATAGACAGTTTAAACAATATATATTTCCAGAAGTACCAGTCATGCAAACATACTCAGATACCCATCTATGGGCGCATGCTGAACTTGGCTCTGTGCCACAAATCTAATAGCATGCAATCCAATACATAACATAACTGAATACTACATAGTCATATCATCATGCCTGAATACATAAATGTACATGTATCGAATATGAACACTATGCAACAATACATCTTTTCCAAAAATACGTCTAAAACAAATAGTAGCATCCGACCACCCAGAACTCCACATCCTCATACTAGTACCTCTAGCCACGGTTAGTGTCCTTGTCCCATGAGGCTCTTCAATTAACTGTGTTCCTGAAATCATATCCCCAAACGGGGTTAGAGACGAATCTCTAGTAAACTCCAGGTTTATGGAAAACCCTCCATACCCTGGGCTCACTTCCTGCATGACAGTCAGATACATAATATACAAAACATCATATAAGCAATTATCATAACTGAACAAAGCATATATACATATCTTATCAAAGACAAACGCAGTCATTCCCAAGGGATGACCCCAAGCGAAAATCAACACACGTAACAAATATCTTTTACAAAAATCATCACAATACTCACATCAGAACAAAACGTGTTATATCAAAGATGTACGCAATCGTTCCCAAGGGATGACCCCAAGCGGAAATCAACGTACGTAACAAATATCATTTACAAAATCATCATACATATCCCATAAAACATGTCATAAAATCAAATATCATAACTAAACAAAACATATACACATATCTTATCAGAAACGTACGCGGATATTCCCAAGGAAGGACCCCAAGCGGAAATCAACGCACGTGTTCCCAAGGGAGGACCCCAAGCGGAACCAGAACATATCAGAGGCATACGCAGTCATTCCCAAGGGAGGACCCCAAGCGGAAATCAACGCACGTGTTCCCGAGGGAGGACCCCAAAGCGGAACCAGAACATATCAGAGGCGTACGCAGTCATTCCCAAGGGAGGACCCCAAGCGGAAATCAACGCACGTGTTCCCGAGGGAGGACCCCAAAGCGGAACCAGAACATATCAGAGGCGTACACCATCAGTCCCGAGGGAGGACCCCAAAGCGAACATCCGGGTACTATACAATCAATGGCCAGATATTGTTACAGAAATCATATTACAGAAGTCATATCATAACAAAACATATCATATTAACACATATCAAAGTAAATACATCAAAACAAAACATATCATATTATCATATAGCTCTATATGAATGCATCTATATCATGTATCTCATACATATCATACAACCTGACCACAGTCCGTACACTATGGCGGAACACAAAGTAGGAGCGAACCCCATAAACATAGAGCTTACCTCTTTGAGCTTTACAATCTGCTTACTTGAAGAACAAGCTACTTATCATACTCCACGAGAATCCAAACGTTCACAGTCCCTAGGTACACCTAGAGAAGGAATTCAACATAAAACTCAATAAAATGATATAATGCCATGTAAATATACAAGACACACACTTTATTGTTTATTTTCTTTTTACTTAATCATATTAAGTCATGAGTGGGTGGTTCTTTGTTCAACAAATCCCCACAAAATTCCATATATTCACTTAGTCTTAGGATAGTCCCAAAAGGCCTTTAGAACACTCATTACTCCTCTTAGCACCTAAAAGCCTATTTTTCCCAATTTAAGGCCGAATGCCCATTACAAAGGAGCTATAAGATTTCTCTTTGTCTAGTGCCTAAACCCAAGCTTAGCCACCTATATAAATTATTTTACGCATATAAGTATCCTCACTTTGCGAAACAATATCTCCGAACATATACCTCATTTGAAAATGGCCAAAACTCATTTTAAGGCCATACAAAGGAGCTACCTTATTTTCTTTTTTATTTCACCAAAGCGAAGGTCCATACACCTTAGAATATCATTCCACGCATAAAAGTATGCTCGCTTTGTAAAACAGTAACTCATAGCACATACTTCCTTTGAAAATGGCTAAGAGGCACATAAAGGAAATCATGCCAACTTCATGATTTCAATGCTTTACTCCATCAAATTCAAGCTTATCACACACCTCTAATCCAAGATTCGTTAATTGATATATACGACACTGTTCATCTCTACAATACTATTCATGTATGCGTTACTATTCACGTATACGACACTATTCAAAAATACGGTATTTTTAATTTTCCAAAATACATTTTCACCGTTAAAATTCTCATCTAAACACTTTTCTCAACATGAGCTAAACCTGAATTAAGCTCTAACATGCTCAATCAATCCAAATTTTTAAAATGAAAACCTATATTCAATCTTTCTCAAAACTCAAAGAAAACAAAGATTTCTTAACATGAACTTACCTAGAATGAAGGGAGAAGCTTGCTTCAAGCTCCCATGGCTTCAAGCTCCATCAAAACCCATATTTTCCATGAAATTCGAATTCTTTGGGGGAGAAGATCTCTCTCTACAGTGAACCCCACTCAGAAATACTGGTACCAATAGATTCCTCTCGAAATTTCTCACAGGTTTGGCTTTGGAACGGAGTGATTTGGAGGTCTCTAGCTCAAGTTATGAATTTTGGAAGAATTTTAATCAAAATCTCCATTTTCATTTTCTTTCCTTCCTTCTCTCTGTCTCGCGTCCGTAAAGAGAAGGGAACAGTGACTCCCTTGAGTCACTTATATAAATTCATTATACTAGCGGGTATAAGCTCATCTATCTACACACCTCCATTCATTACCAAACTTTAACCAATAGACTAGAATATTTTTCTAGTCACGTTTCTATTTTTACTTTCACTTTTAGATAACTTTATTTATCCGCATTTTTTACCTCTTAACTGTCATTTTAACTCATTTTTCACCAAAAGTGACTTTATTTCTTTTTCTTTGTAATTATCCTTCAATATTAAATCCATAATAAATGTGAGGGTCATTATATAAAGTTTATCAATATTTTTCAATTGGCCCACTTCATCTGGTAGACTACCACTCAATGAGTTGTGTGATAAGTCTAATAAATTTGTCAAAGAGGAAAGACGAAAAACTTCTAAGGGTATAGTTCCTCTAAGATTGTTTTGGGAAAGGTTTAGATATTGTAACTTTTGGCAGTTTCGTATACTTAGAGGAATATTTCCTTCTAACAAATTTTGGTCTAAACGCAAATGATACAATAAACTGAGGTTTCCTATGATGGATGGTATATTTCCTGACAGTTTGTTTCCACTCAATTCTAAAAATTGCATATTCTGAAGCTTTCCAAAAGCAGATGGAATAATCCCCTCAAAACAATTATTTTCCATGGTCAATAGAGTTAAGCTAATTAGATTTCCTAATTCTGCGGGAATTTGTCCTGATATTTGATTACCCCCAATATATAGGCGACTCAGTTGAGAGGATAAATTGCCCAAGCAATTTGGCAAATGACCTCCAAACTTAATGTAGGTCATAGCTAACAGTTGCAACTTACTACAGTTTGTCAATGATTTTAAAAACTCCAAATCCGTTGTTAAATTGTCACCTAGATTGTTTTTAGACAAACGTAGTATCCGAAGATCTTGTAGCTTCCCTAGACTTGGAACTTGTCCTACAAAATGGTTTTGACTGATATCAAGTAGTTGAAGGACAGAAGCATTTGCAACGGAAGTGGGGATTGGACCTGAGATTTGATTCTTCCCAATTTCAAGTACTTTGAGATTGGGAAGGGTGAGGAACATGTTGGGTGGAAGAGACCCATTAAATTGATTCTCTGGAGTTGAGATTAAATTAAGAGATGACATATTGTAAAGACAAGAAGGAAATATACCATACAGTTTGTTTTCACCCACTCCTATCTTTGTCAAGTTTTTGAGGCGGCATATTTCTTGTGGAATATCTCCCTCTAAGTTATTATAACCCACTGAAAGTTCAGCTAGATCTGATAGATTCCCTATGAATGGTGGGAGTCCTCCAGTTAAATTGTTTCTTGCAACGTACAAATATTGAAGCTTCACAAGAGATGCAATATGATTTGGTATTTTGCCAATCAAATTGTTCCCATATAAGATTAAGACTTTGAGATCAGAGCAACTTGTCAAGTTTGTAGGAATTTTCCCGGTCAACGAGTTGTTGATGAGAGAGAGTTGCTGCAGTTGTAACAATCGACCCAATTCTTGCGGGATTCTTCCGTAAAAGCTGTTGTTTCCGAGGTTGAGGTTTATAAGAAAGGAGAGATTGCCAACTTGTGGAGATATGAGCCCATGCAAATGATAACCTTGTAGGTTCAACTCAGTAACTCTTTGGTTCATGGGGCTGCATGTGATTCCATGCCAGTCGCAAAAGTGGGTAGAACTATTCCATGAAAACAAGATTCCATATGGGTCATTGGATATTGATTCCTTGAATTTGAGCAATGCCAAATGGTCAGTCTGGTTTCCTGATGGAGAGGCAGTTGTGTTTGGGCCAAACCAGAGTGATTTCAAAGTAATTAAGAGAAGAAATAGGTGAAGGCATGTAGAGCAAAATGCAGTTAACATGAGAGAAAAACGCTTCATTATTTGGTGGAGGAAGACGCTGGAGTTTGATAATTGGGTGGAAACACAGACGAGGGATATTACTTCCTTGTGTTACTCTATGCACTTAAATACTGGAGGCAACATAATTAACACGTAAGGTGACATCTTGAATTTGAATTTGATTGCCACTACCAAAAAAAAAAAAAAAAGCCCTTAAAAGTCAAGTCAATTGATATGTCTCGTTTCCTAACACAGCTCTTACGTTTGGTCCAAACTACACCAGTTTTTATAATCAAGAAAAGAATTGTGAGTGGACCAAGATGCGTTTGGCATGGAGTCGAAAGCTATATTATGTGAAAATGTTAACTTCAAACTTCTTTCAATTTTGATCTACTCCAAGAAGAGAAGATAGCTCACTTTTTTCCGTCACCTTTCTAACAATGAATTTGCTACCTATCTTTCTTTCTTTTTCTTGCAGCGAGACGGATGTGTGTCACTTGTTGATAATATCAATAAGGATTTGTAGTTTTCACTTAAAAAAAAAAAAAAAAAACTTAACAATATCATGTTATTTTATAAGATAGATACGAATTATTTTCATACATAACATATCATCATGTGTACATTGGTGGATAGTTCTTATACAAAACTTTTTTTTTTCTCTCATTACATGGTACTATGATACTATCATATTTTTGAGATAAAAGTTAAAAGATTTAAATGAGATTGCTTTAGCCTTTAGAATTCTTGTCTTTTTTTTCTTGTACTTGATTCAATTTCACCTGATGTAGTACATAGATAATCATGGAAATTGCTTTTAACCAGCTTCAAATCAATACCAGAAGTTCCATGACCTGTTTTTATTTGCTGCGTTACATGTACTTATTAGGTGTGAAGAGAAGAAAAAGGACAATAAAAGATGCAAACAGATGTCTAATTTAATAACCAATAACCCCCGAGTTGGTACATTGACAGGGATGACTTGTATTATTGCGGTGGAATTTCTTCTAGATCGAAAAGCTATCTAATATCAAACGTTGGGATTAGATACATTGTGAACAATTGAGTGACTTAACAATTGAGAAAGTATCTGGTACAAACTCAGAGACTTCAAGTTGGAACATTTGGCTCAAAAGTAAGTAGAACATCACATGTTAATCAAATAATACAGCAATTCATTCAAAACATAGCATGTCACGTAGGAATTAAATTAAATTTATGTTCTCAAATTAATTTTAAGATAATTTATTAAGTAGTTGTGTGTATTAATATGAAGATATATAACAATTTCTTTAGGGGCCGTTAATTTGGCAGAGGAGAAAAAAAAATTTATCCGAAAAGTACGATTTTCATAAATATGATAGGAAGATGAGTTTTCTCGGAATGTTAGCAAAAAGGTGTTTGGTAGACTAAAATATTCCCGAAAATATTAGTTTAATTTTCTTAATGCTATGTTTAGTTGTATTAAATTTTTTGTTGCCATAGAAATCCTAGAATACCATCCGTGGATGGTATTTTCAAAAAAATTTACACACAAAATAAAATTCTTGAAAAATCAGATTCCCAAAAAAATTTAAAAAAACTTGTACCACACGTGAGTAAATATGATTACCATTCTCAGTTTTGCGAGAATCCTAAAAAATACCTTTTACCATACGGCCCAGGTTTAATGAATAAAACTTTGGCCTTTTCTCTCCTCTGTCTTGATATCTCTCTGATTTTCCCTCTATTTTTGGTTACTAGTCAGTAGTCAATGCATGCTTCCAGTAAAATTTGGTGCACGTCTGCTTCAGCTTGACTAATATTTTGTGTATTTTACCTTGATAATCGTGTCTTTTTGGGTGGAAGACCGGAAGGTGAGGTTTACTGTTCATGCTACGTAGACCAGGTGATATTTCTATGTTGGGAAGTCATTTATGACATTATGAGGGCCCAAAGCATGGTTGATTCAACTTAACAAACAAGTCCAATTTTAAACAAATTGCAAAAGCGTGTGGAATATGCCAGGGGCTCAAGATATTGTAAGGTTCGCGGGCTATTGATGCTTGATTAGGAGGTTTTTCAACACATTTGAATGTCACATGCTAATCAAATAATACAGCAATTCAATGAAAACATAGCATGTCATTTAGGAATTAAATAAAATATATGTTGTCAAAATAATTTATTATAATTTGAATAGTTGAAAGAATTAATTTAAAAATATATACAAAAGAGTTTCTTTATATTTAACGAATAAAACTCGGTCTTTTATCACTCTTCAGTCTTCATCTCTCGGTTTTATTTGTAGTTTTACATATTAGTCAGCAGTCATGCCCCGGTTTATACTTTCCCTAACAAGTAAAGTCTTGATAGATTTTTTTTTTTTTTTTTTGATAACAAGTCTTGATAAATTTTAATTTATTGCTTTTGATAAAAGTCTATGCTTGACTACTTCACCACGGCTAGTATTTTTTATTTTTTATTTTTTGTATTTTACTTTGATTAGACAATCGTGTCTTTTGGGGTAGTGGAAAATTTGAAGATGAGTTTTTCTCATAATGCTACGTGGACCAACTGATATTGCCTTAGAGAAGAGTCATTTATGGCACCATTTCTACGTTAGTGATTATCGAGCAATATTCACGAGCTTGTATTATGTGGCCATTGGCATAAAAACGGGGTGAAAATTTTGGTGCGTGCCGTGCATAACAAAATTGCTTACCATATTAACACGACAGATACAGAGACAAAGAGAATGGGGAGAAAAATGGAAATATGACATTCATTGTTGTGATTTTGTATCGGAAGCAAAAAGGGCCATTTAACTTATATGGCAGAGTTTGTTACAACAATTTGTGATGTGGCAAAACAGAAAAAAATAATGAAAAAATGAATAAAAGAATATCCTTTATTAATATGAGATAATATCTTCTAGTCGGAGATTTTGTCACAAGTACAGCAATTCAATGAAGACATAGCAAGTCACACTGGAAAATTAAATAAAATTTATGTTGTCAAAATAATTTATTATAAGAATTAAGTAGCTGAATGAATTAATCTGAAAATACATAAGAATTTCTTCGTGATTAATGAACAAAACTTGGCCTTTCTCACTGTTCGGTCATTGTCTATGTGGTTTCTCTGTAGTTTTGCATATTAGTCAGTGGTCATGCCTTGGTTTATACGTTCTATACAAAGTGAAGTTTAGATAAATTTTAATGTATTGCTTCTAATAAAAGTCAATGCTTGTCAGCTTCACCGTGATTAATCTTTTGGGGTGGAAGATAGGAAGATGAGGTTTTCTCCTAATGCTATGTGGACCAGCTGATATTGCTACAACAGGAAGTCATTTATGTTAGTATGTGAACTTAAAAGCATATTAGATACCTTACCACCACAGGATATAAGTCTCATACTTAGTTGATGAGAGAAAGTGGAAGGAAACAAAACTAAATTATCCTCGGCTTTGATGAAATTTATTAACTTGTGTAAATTGATCGAGCATATATGTAAGGGAACTCAAGTGAGGTGATCCAACTATATACAAATAAGATATGATAAACGAAAGCGAAAGATGTTCAATACTAGCTACACAAATAGAAAACCAAAGTGCTAAGTGTGAACAAAAATAAGTCACTTAAATCCAAACAGAATTTTTTCTTGTTCAAAAAGTTATAACTATGGGGTAAAAAAATAAACCTAGCATTATTTTGTTAAAAAAGATGTCCCTTCCTCACTAGATGCAATTCTTTGGTAACATCCATCATATTCATTCTTTCTATGAACTATTCGACTGAACAAACAAGTCCAGTCTTAAGCAACTTGGGAAAGCGGCTAGAATATGCCAAAGGGATCAATATTTTGTGAGGTTCGTTGGCTATTGATACATGGCAGCTAAAGGTTTCATTTTCTTTGAATAAGAGAAAGCAAGAGTGTATATACTTTACTACTCGAGATTCTAAAATGATGATGCTGATATGAGAACCCAATGTTGAATTAATATGGAGTTAGGATGAAACTAGTTCTGCATTTGAAACGACTATGAACTGTGGTTGAAAATTCTTCAATTAAAGGAAAAGGCAACAAATTAAGAACACGTACATTCAAACAGTGATGGGTGGGTTGAAAGTGGATTTTATCTCTACATTGTCAAATTGTTCCACATTTTTAGCCTACTCTTACTTAAATTGTTTGATCCTTGTATAAATCTTGTAATAGTTGTTATTGAATTCATTTACTGCTTTTACAAGTTCTTGCCCATTAAGGGTGTGCATGACAATTTTCCCGGAGTCATTTTTTTTTTTAATTTATGTTCCCGGGAACAGAAATGGATAGAAAATTTATTTGGTAAAATCGATTTATTTTTTTGTTCCCGTAATAAACCGATTTAATTTTTGTGCTGGGGAACAGAAAAAAGAATCAAAAAAATTTTCTTTTTTATTCTCAGACACAAAATGACAAACATTTATTTCTCACAATCACTCTTCACCACTATCATCATCATCACCACCATCATCATCCCGACATGACCACCGCCACCATCATCGCCACCGCCGTTGTACCACCAATGTCGTCGTCACAATCACCACCACCACCACAACAATGTCGCCACCACCATCACCACCACCACCACCACGATGTCATCGCCACCACCTCCACCATGCCACCGTTATCACCACTATTATCACCGCCGCTACCACCACCACCGCAACCAACCACCTCCACCATCATCGCAGCCACTGTCATCACCTCCACCACTACCACACTACTAGAAAAGTTGATTTTTTCGACGGAATTTTTCCGTCGAAAATGGTGATAATTCCGTCGAAAATTGTATTTTCGACGGAATTTTTGACAGAATTCAGGCCGTGGAATTTTCCTTCGTGGCTAACAAATTTTTCGACGGAATTAAAAATTCTGTCGAAAATTTTCGACGGAATTAAAAATTCTGTCGAAAATTTTCGACGGAATTAAAAATTCTGTCGAAAATTTTCGACGAAAAATCCGTCGAAAAACATTGTCGAAAATTTTCAACGGAAAATGGATTCCGTTAAAAAATTTCGACGGAAAATCAATGAAATTCCGTCGAAAATTG